CCTCTCCAGCCACAGCCAACATAAGCCTCCAAGGGAAGGGAATGGCGCAGGTGGGCGGCCGGCGGCACGTCGGAGAGCTGGCACCCTCCCCTTCGTGAATATTGGATGAGAACATCTGAGACCGCCGAAGCCCGCTGGGGCGGCACCCTGCCAGAGGCGCCCCCGCCACACCGGTGCGCCCCGAATCGCACCTTGCTGCAGAGTGCCGGGACCTGGGCACCTGGACACCACCTTTGGGGCCACGTGGGGGGTTTTAATAGGTGATTAAAACAACGGCCGGCACTCTGGGCTCAGACTTGGTTGGGGAGAAGGAGCGGCCGGCCGCTGGTTGCCTCCCGCCTGCATCCCAGGTGGACCCGAGTCCCGGGTCCGATTACGGGCTGTGGATGAATTATTCACAGCCTCGTCCGCCTTCAGAATAGCCCGGAGCGTGTCTGGAGTGGAGGGCTGAGCCATCAAAATCCAGGCTGGCTCAAGCACCAGCTCCAGAATCGAGTCGGAGCTGGCCTGCCTGCTCCAGATAGTCCCCTGTAGATATGGTGCCACACAGGTAGGAAGGTGGGCGCTGCGGGCGTGCGCCGGCCTCACGCAGGGGGGCTGCCCTGCCCTGGGGGTGGGCTCTGCCCTTTGCCTCATGGAGAGCCGGCCTTGCCTACAGAGCCACTGAGCCCCCTCGGCTCACAGCCTGGAAGAAATGCCCCGGCTGCCAGGTGAGCCCTGTTCTGGTGGGTGGCAGAGGTGGGCTCGGCTGGAGCACAGCTTTGGCACCTGCCCGCGACTCTCACTGTGGCCTTGACCACGATGGGTGGGCGGCCGGGCAAAGGGGAAAGCGAAAGCTCACGAGGAGCGTGGGAGGTTCGCTCCGAGCCCACCCCATGTAAATCCACCCGGTGGAGGAGACGAGCCCCCTCCCCTTCCTCCAGAGAGCCCAGGAGGCCGCCCCGGGGGTGAGCTCTGGCCAGCTCAGGCCCCGGGAGCGGGCCTGCGGAACTCACCGCCACTCACTTCTGGACAGGCAAAGCGGTCGCTTGGGGGTGTTCCCTGGACACCGAAGGGCGGGCTGGCCGCCCACCGTCTGCCCCTAACTCACCTCAGTTGAATGGCTTGGCAAGATTTTTGGTTCTCTTAAAAGCATACAGAAACTGGAGCAGGGCCGTCTTTCTAATACAGCCCCCCTGCCTTTTAAAAGAAACTCTTTTAAAAACAAATGCCCACCCCTGGTCTTAGGGACAAGTCAGAAATTTTTAGCTCTAAAAACTCACTAAAGTTTCTTCCTTTCGTCTTCTGTTGAATTTCTGCTTGTTGCACAACTCTTGAAGGTGCAAAGCCGGGTGTGTGAGTGGGGGAGGGGGGCACTTGCGACGATTCTGCGCCTCCTCATCCCATGCAAGCAGGGGCCCAATCCTGCAGCTGCTGGCTTCCCCCAGCCATGCCGAGTTCTTGCTGTGGGTGCTTCCAAGAGTGACAAGACTGGATTTTCTTCCACCCCCACCCCACACACCGATTCCCACCCATTTTACTGAAAAAGGACATTTTCAAGCCATGCAGAAAGAGACTTAAAAGACAAGAAACTGCAGTATTACACCAGGGACTAGAAACTTAGATTGAAGAGAGAGAAGAGGGGACATCAAGGTACCTGAAGGGCAAATGGAGGTGTTTCTTCTCCTTCCCCTTCACCTTATCTCTGAAAATACAAATGCCAAGAGATTGGGAAACAATTCCCTGGCTGGCAGGGACACAACACCCCCCCCACACACACACACACACACCAGCCCTCGAAAAGAAGCTTTCCAAAGATCACGCCCTGCCCCACAGCAGATCCACACAGGGCCTGGAGGCTGAAAGAGCAGCAGCCCCAGCAAGAGGCACTTCACAAGCCCTTTTCCTCAGCGCGTGCCCGTCTGCTCCGCATCACGCACCCTCTTCCTGGCGGTCTCAGAGGCCACAGCACGTGGGAAAGGGGCCCGGCCAGGGCCAGGTGCCTGATGCGTGTCGTTTTTGTAAAAATGACTTGGCTCTGGAAACAGCCTTGCCTGAAATCCACCAGACAGCTGATCCCTGCTGCGTCTTGGTGTTCGGGGCCAGCATTCTGGGGGCCCCCAAGGACGCCCCCAGGCACACAGGCACGTGCGCACACAACCCAGGCACGGAATTTCTGGGCCCCTCAATGACCCGCAGAGCCCTCACACGAGGGAGGGAAGAAGCGCAGAGTTCCGCTGGACAGAAGAGGTGCGGGGGCGTCGTTCTCGGGCCGCCGCACACCCCCGCTCTTGGGGAGGGTCCGAGACGGGCAGCCCACCCAGGCCAGCCACAGGGGCGCTGCTCCACCCTCCCCCCCGCGTGCCCAGAGCTGACGCCCGGCGCGCCCCGCCTGCGCCCCCGGCCCGCGGAGGGGTGGGGCGCGGGCGCTCGGCGCTGCCGCGCCAGCGTGGGGAGGGGGCCGTCCAGCCCCCGCAGCCTCGTGGACGGCGCCCCGCCGCCCGCCCCTGCCCCAGGCGCCCGCGGGAACGGCTCGGGCACGGAGGGTTTTCGAGGGGCGGGCGGAGGCGCGTCCCCGCGGGGCCCGGGAACCCTGAGCCACGCGGGACGCGGCTCCCCGCTCCGCTTTCACGGGGCTGAACGGCCTACCGGACGGCTCCCTTCCCGCCAGGGGAGCTCGCCCCGACGGCGCCCCGGACTGGAATTCGGCCTCGGGAGGGAGCGGCGCTGCGCCAGGTGCCGCGGGAAGCAGGCGGATCAGGGCGCGGGGGGGAGCAGGCCGGGGGCGGGGTTGTGCGAAGGGAGCCCCCCCCGCGCGAGGCGGCACCCCTTCGCCGCGGGGGCCGCTCCCCCTGCCGCTCGGAGGGGGCGGCCTGGGAAGGGGCGCCCCGCTCCGCCCTCAGCCCCGAGCGCAGCCGCTTCCGCCCAGAAACGGCCCGATGCGCGCACTGCGGGGCGCTCAATCGCGGTGAGAGCACCAGCCGCCGCGCCGGGCTGGGTCCCTTGCGCGTCGCTCTTGCGACTGGCACGTGGAAAGGGTGGGACTTGGGCAGCATAAATAAGCCCCGTGCACTTCAATGGGCCTCTTCTATATACCGTCAGCACTGAATTCTACCCACTATATTAAGACGCTTGCTTGAAAAACAACGACGCTCCATATGAATCAAAATTGTGCACCGAAAAAAGTGCATTAGAAAAGGAGCCTAGAAGGATTTGGCTGAATGTTCATGCTTTTTACAAAAAATCCGTTTGGGAAAAATACATTTCCTTTCTGGTATTATATTTATACACTACTCAATAGTCAAAGCTCTCTGGGCAGTTCACAAGAAAGAAACCCCTCAAAATACAATTCTGTACACAACTTAGAGGATGCTTTCTCTCACTGTCCCACACACACGCACACTCACAAGAAGCTGAGACAATCCAGACTGTCAGCTCCACCCACGTGCCCCACCGGCGTCCAGGAGGAGGGGGTCTGCCTTCGCTGAAATCATTGAGTCATTGAAATAATCTGGAGCGTTTCTCCCTTTTATACTGCATTGTTAATGTAGTATGTTATAAAGTTAATGTGCCGTTATAAAGCGCCAGCTACTGGGTGGGACCGCAAAGGTAAATACAGAGATACTTCTCCGCAAGGGGAGGGTACCTCTGCTGCCCGCGTGTTTCTCTGCCGTCCAAATGCGGCACCTGCAGGAGGGTGTTCTCTCAGAGATGTTGAGGCTGGTCCGAAGGGAGCTGCTTTCGTGGCCACGGCCGAACGGGGGGCCGAAAGGGCAATGCCAACCGGCCCCTGGGGCCTCTTTCCACCAGAGCAGCAACCCTGGGGCCCGCACGCTGGAGCAGAACGGGAGAGGACCACGCCGCCGCCTTCCTGCCATTTCCCCATCGAAATGTTACTCCAGGTGCTTTTTCATCCGTAGGAGGGAAGCACCCGAGCTCCCGCATCCGGTTCTTTTCCCCAGCAGCCCCTGGAAGGCGGTTCCAAGCAGAACAACGGCAGGTGGGAGGACACCTTCCCTTCTGCTGCACATGAGGCCTCTGCGTGGGGGATTTATCCTACTCCCCCAAGCGGAAGCCTGTTTTCTAATCTACCAAACAAGGCACTATCCTTCGAGGCTTGGGATGCTCCTGGGCCCAGAACTGCCCCTTGAGGCACAGGGGGACTCGGTGGCGCGGGCTGCCTTTCATCAGCTGAAGCCGATCCCCCGACTATGCCCCATCTGGACAGCGGGTGCCCGGCGACAGCCACGCATGCCCTGGGCGCCTCCGGCTGGGTTGCAGCATGCGCGGCACGTGGGCCTGCCGTTGGAAACAGCCCTGGGATGTCAACAGATGCAACACGGCAGCAGGAAGGGGACCGGGACCTGGCTAGCCCCACTGGCGGCCGGTTGAAGCCCGGGCCCGAGTCAAGGGGGGCGCCTGTGCTAGCATCCAGAGCCCTAAACCTCTTGGGGCCGAGCTATCTGAAGAGCCCCCCTGGCCCATAAGTACCTGCCTGGACCCTGAGGGCATCTCTGGGGATCCTTCTCTGGGAGCCCCTCCAAAGGGGGGGCAGCAGCTCCCAGGAGCAGGGGCTTTTTGGTTGCGACACCCCGATGTGGCACAAGCTCTCCGAGGATGTGCGCCTGGCACCTACTTTGTACCCTTTCCAGTGCCGGGCGGAGGCCTTTTTATTCGCTCCGCATTTTAGCTTCTGAACTTTATTCTAATATTGCATTTCATCTGCTTCAATGCTGCAGTCGCTGTTGTGGTGTTTTGCTGTTTATGTAAGAGAGTGTGTGTGTGTTTTAGCTCCTGTTGCTCGCAGAGAGAGCGTCAGCTATTGGGCGGCATACAAACAAACATTTCCAAGCCTGGCACCCAGAGAAGGCTCAGAGCGTCACAGCAAAAGCACACAGAGAGAGACAGAGGAAAG